GATAAGCCTCATTTGGTCATGGTATATATATCTTTTTGTACCTTGCTGGATTTGGTTTGCTTTGTAGATGTTGAACCAACCTTGCATTCTGAGGATCAACTTCATTTGGCTATAATACTATCCCATTTTTATCTGTTACTAAATTTATATCCTAATAATTTATTATAATTTTTATGTCAATATTACTGGGGGATAGAGGTTGGTAATTGTCTTTTATTATTATGTCTTCGTTTGGTTTTGTTGTCATGGTAGGGCTGCCCTCAAAAAATGAGTTAGAAAATGTTTCCTCCTCTTCCTTTTCTTAAGAAAACTTTGTGTTGAATTTTTATTATTCCTCCTAAAACATTTGACAGAGTTCATAAGTGAACTCTGATTCACTGGTAAAAAATGTAATTTAGAATTCAACAACTTTTAATAGATAATAGCCTGTTGAACTTACCTATTTCTTCTTTAGTAAACTTGGATAGCTTGTGTCTTTCAAGAGATTTGTTTATTTATATGTCATCAGATTAATTTGCAAAAAATTGTCTAAAATATTCCTGATTATCCATTTCATATTTACTAGATCTGTAATAATGTTTCTTCTTTCATTCCTGATGTCAGCCATTTGTGTTTTCTCTCTTTTTGTTTGATCAGAGTGGTCAGAGCAGTGGTTTTCAACCTTCCTAATGCCACGGCCCTTTAATACAGTTCCTCATGTTGTGGTCACCCCAAGCCATAAAATTATTTTCATTGCTACTTCATAACTGTAATTTTGCTACTGTTATGAATAATAATATGTATCCTGATATGCAGGATGTGTTTAGGTGATACCTGTGAAAGGATTGTTCGACCCCCAAAGGGGTCATGACCCACAGGTTGAGAACCACTGGGTTAGAGGCTTATCAACTTTATTGGTAAAGTCCATAATGAGCACATGTGACAGCTTTTAACTTGTAATCTAAGTTGATCTTTAAGTAATCTATTGCTGAACAGTGAATGAAGACCAATAAGGAATTTGGTTTCAAAGATTAGCCACCAGCTATGACAATGACGATAATTATAAGTATCATTATAATAAATAAGACTTAGTGTATAGTACATTCAGTCCTTATGGTCAATATGGATTATACTACAATTACTTTCATTTGATATTACAAATATAAAAATAAGATAATAAGCACCTCCAAACTTACCTTAAGTATAAGATGCATCTGCATAAGTTACCACATGCTATGTCTGTTTTCTATGCACTGCTATTCTTTGGACATGGGGGATATAGGCAGGGAGCATTTCTTGAGAAGAGCTGCTGAAAAATGGTATTGGTATACCATTTAGTAACATTTTACTCAGGTGTCAGGATCAAAAACCAGCAAGTGAGTTGAAAACCAGTTAGTGGTCTATAATCCCTCTTCTTAAACTGTGTAGCCAGATATATTTGAAACTCAGGATTTTTTACTTTATAATGCTGATAAAGATGCATGTGTCTCTCCTAGTTGATACCTTCGGTAGGGTCTGTGACAGCATTCCATAGCATATTCATTTTTGTGTGTGTGGAAAATGATGACCATAAATAATCTCATAGTATGTGCTGCCAAATACGTTCTTCAAAGTGTCAGTCTTCAAAGATCTTTTGCACTTCAAGATTATAAATAAAAAAGGACTATAACCATATATGCCAAAGTTGCCTATGAAAAATATTCTAAATCTCCCATAAAATATGGTATATTGGTTTTGTTATAGTATCCCATTTTTCCTCTGAGTCTAATGCAGCCAATTGTTCCTCCAGAGTAGAACAGATTGCTGTAGCTTTAGTTGAGCACCAGATGAATTAATTGGCTTGCATTTAGGGCTCGTGTTTGAACGAAAATTATGCTTTTCTCTTTTTATTTCTTTGGCCAAGCTTGTGTAGCTGAATTTGGGCAGATTAAATCAATGTATATTTGATACAGCTCTACTATAGAATACTTACTTGAACAATGTTACATGAGCCAGTAAGAAAAGACAGGAATAAAAATAAACACCACTGCCAAATTATAGCCTCCCTAATCAGCAACACATTTATATGAAGTTAAAATGTATGCACAGAGACAGCAGAAGATGATATATTCTGAGGTCTGCACAAAAAATCAGTCAATGTGGCAACACAAGTTAATGAATGGGTGGTATCCAATATGTTAACACTTCTGGGTTTTTGCATTGCAGTTTTTTAAATAATTCAAATATATTTTTTAGAAAATAAAATTTGTATCAAATCCTAAGGCTGCACAAAATAGTTTGGTTATCTCTATGGTTTATTCTAGATGTAGAAAACAACACAGCACTACCAACAAAAACAACACATTCATCATAATTAACATAAGTAACATTCTTAAGTGCTTACTACATGTCAAGCACTGTTCTAAGTCCTTTAGACATATTAATGTATTTAAAATGCACTTATTCTGACAATAATATTCTAAGCATTTGCTCTGTATTAGGCATTGTTTTACACACAATGGGTAGAGATTTTGTTTCGTAGTGGACATTTGGCAATCTTTGGAGACATTTTACATGCTATACCTGGGAAGGTGCTATTGGCATCTGGCAAACAGTAGTCAGGGTTGATGGTAAACCTCTTACAACACACAGGATATTCTGCTATGACAAAGAATTATCCTGCCCACAGTGTCAATGGCGCCAAGGTTGAGAAACTGTCTGGGAAACCGAGATACAATAGTACAAAATAAACAAAATGCATGCCTTCCTGTGATTTATATTTTAGTGGTGGTAAATAAGCCAATTTAAAAGTAAGTATTGACTCAGCACCTGTAGCACAGTGGTTGCCTTGCCAGCCACATGCACTAAGGGTGATGAGTTTGAACCTGGCCCAGGCCTGCTAAAAAACAATGACAACAGCAACAAAAAAAATAGCTGGGCATTGTGTCAGGTGCCTGTAGTCCCAGCTACTTGGGAGGCTAAGGCAAGAGAATCGCTTAAGCCCAAGAGTTTGAGGTTGCTGTAAGCGACATCACTCTACCGAGGGTGACATAGAGAGACTGTCTCAAAAAAAAAAAAAAAGTAAATATTTATCTATTATATTATAAGGTGAGAAGGTTTTATATGAAGAAAGAAAGAATTGGGGAAGAAGAATAGGAGGAATGTTTGTGTGCTTGATGGAGAGTTGGGATTAGAAATTTCAATAGAGTGTTTAGGGGACGCAGTGCCTAAGGGGTGACTTTGGAGGGAAGCCTTAGAGGAGGCGAGGGGCAGGTGTGGACACCTAGATGAAGAGTAACTTTCAGGCAGGGGGAACAGCACAAGGCCAGGCCCAAGTCAAGAGCAAGCATGTCTTTTTCAAGGAACAGAAAGGGACCATTGTAACCTGATAAGATGCTCGGAGGGGACACAAGATAATCATGATCTATGTGTATATGACTTAAAAAAAAGAAGAAGATGAATGGAGAGGGGGAATCATGTAGAGTTTGTAGACCAATGTAAAGATTTGAGGGAGTGGGAAACATTGCATGGTTCTGAGCAAAGGAAAATCATAAGCTAATTTGTGGTTTTGAAGCATCCTGCTGACCACTGCATAGAGAATTAATCCCAGAAGGCCAAAGGTGGAGGAAGCAGACCATTAAGAAGCCACTACAATAACCCAGTGAGAGATCATGGTGACTCAGACAAGGTTTCCAGCCATTAAAGGTAGGAAGTGATTGGATTCTGGGTGTACTTTTCAAGATTGAGGTGATATAATTTTGTGTATGCATATACAATGTAGAGGAAGAATACAGAAATTTTACTTCCTTCTTTGCTTGTTTTGGGACTGAGCCACATGAAGAATGGAATTGCCATTTACTGAAGTGGAGAAGGTGAGGGTAGGATTAGCTGGAAGGTGGAACCCAGAATTTCCATGTTTAATTTGAGGTATCTATTGGAATATTTAAGGAGAGATGTCAGAACATGTAAACCACCTATGGAGTAGCTACTCTAATCCCCAGTAACAGAGATGTTAAATAGCTTGTCCTTGGTCATCCAGCTGTTAAAATGCTATAACTTGAATTCCGGTGGTACCCATGGATGTCTTTCTAAAATGTCTCATTCAATTCTGTCTCCTGAGAAGGTATCTCTTGGTCTCCTTGTCTAAGAATTGCTTTGGCTCAGCTTTCCGATAGAGAAATTTTCTTCATTGAAGTGAGGTTTTGAGACAGAACCTTTTGATGCCATTTTTCCTGAACATTAACATTCCTGTCACCTTTTTCTTTGGATGGTCACGCTAAAAGCCAACCACACTATAAAAGCTAAGGAAAAGATGATACTTCTTCAGTTACAGGAAGCTTAGAAAATAATCACTTATTTGGTATCTATATAAGATACATTATTTTGACTTACTGAGCATTCACATTAGAAATATCACTGGCTGTGGAGTTCCACAGAGAGACCTGCATTGAAACTCAGGCTCCATCACCCACTAGACATGGTTTCATGGGGGCACCTTAACTTTCCTAAGTTCGTGTTGAGCAAGTGACATAACTGCATGTGAGAACATTATCTCTGTGATATGTCCAATTATCAATGACTTTTTTTTTTTTTTTTGAAACGGAGCCTCAAGTTGTTGCCCTTGGTAGAGTCCTATGGCATCACCACTCACAGCAACCTCCAACTCCTGGGCTTAGGAGTTTTGCCTCAGCCTCCCAAATAGCTGGGACCACAGGCACCTGCCACAACACCTGGATATTTTTTGTTTTGGTTGCAGCCATAATTGTTTGGTGGACCCGGGCTGGATTTGAACCCACCAGTTCAAGTGTATGTGGCTGGCGCCTTAGCCTTTTGAGCCACAGGCGCTGAGCCATCATCAATGACTTTTTCACCCCTAAGAATTTTTTTTTTTTTTTTTGCTGGAGGAATTATTAATTAATGGATATAGAGCTTCAGTACAGATGATGACCAGTTCTGGAGCTGGGTTGTGGTGATGATTGAAAAACAATGTGAATGTACTTAATGGCACTAAGCTACTACCTAAAAATGGATAAAATGGTAAATATTATGTTATGTATAGTTTACTACAATTAAAAAAGAAAAACAGAACAGTAAACAAGCAAATAACATAAAAAGGAGACTCCATGTTATTTTCTGAGGAGGGTCAGAGCTGTGGGTAGGGAGAGGGAATGAGGTCCACAGCACATTATGAGTGGATAGGGTTAATCCTACACTGGACCAGCCCAGTGAGGAGGTCAGGTCTCCACTGCTTCAGTCACCAGGTAGTCCTGTTGCCCAGTGGTGCTTTTCCAAAAACGGGTTGTGGAAGAAGAACAGAAAAACTCTTGATCCATTTCATACAGAAACCCTCTGCCACAGAACACAGGTTACAGGACTTTGTTAATAGAATCTTTGTATTTACACACACACACACAGCCACTTTCCCTAACACAGGGTCTGTGTGTTACTTCCTAATTGCTGTCATAACAAGTTACTACCAACTTAGTGATTTAAAATAATGCAAATTTATCTTCACACAGTTCTAAGTGTCCGAGATCTGGGTTGCCTTGTCTGACTTCTCTGCTCCACGTTTCCCCAAGGCCAACACTGAGGTCTCAGCAAGGCTGTGCTCCCTCATGAAGGCTCTGCTGGTGAATCTATTTCCAAGCTCCTTCAGGTTGTCGGTCAAGTTCAGTTCTTTGCAGTTGTGGGACTGAGGTCACTGTTTTTCCTTGCTGGCTGCCCGCCAGGCTGATCTCTCTCTTCTAGAGACAGATAATATTTCTTCTCGTAGTTCCTTGCAGACTTATCCGGCAAGAGTGGATGGAATTCCTCGTCTGTCTGAATCTCTCTGTTTGGATTTGCCTCCTTCCTCTTCTCCTTTTAAGTACTTATTTAATTAGATTGGGCCCACTCAGATAATCCAGGATAATCTATTCCGAGGACAACTGATTAATGACCTTCATTACACCTGCAGCAAATAGACCTTCCCCAGCAGCAAATAGATTAGTGTTTGATTGGATAACCAAGAACTGGAAGCTGAGGGGCTCGTATGTGGAGCAGTTTTGCTTCCCACAGTAGGGTTGGCTGCTAGGGAGCTTTGGAAAAGTAAAAAGACTTTACTCTGGACAGCAGGACCTCCCAGGAAAACACCCAGGCTTTGGCGATAAGCTCAGAGCACCAGCTTCCTCATTTTTTTTTTTTTTTTTGAGACAGAGTCTCACTACGTCACCCTCAGTAGAGTGCCGTGGCATCACAGCTCACAGCAACCTCAAACTCTTGGGCTTAAGCAATTCTCTTGCCTCAGCCTCCCAAGTAGCTAGGAGGAGCCTGCCACAATGCCCAGCTATTTTTTAGTTGTAGTTGTTATTGTTGTTTGGCAGCCCTGGCTGGATTTGAACCCACCAGCTCAGGTGTGTGGGGCTGGCACCCTAGCCGCTGAGCTACAGGTGCCGAGCCAGCTTCCTCATTCTTTATGCTGCATTTTTTATGTCAGCCAAGATATGTCTGTTTTCTCTGTTGCTGGCTGTTTCTATTAGTGCCACTCTGATATGTGAGCCATCTGTGAAATAATTTTGCAGCTCAAGGGGGTAGGTGTGGAGGGCTGGATTGCTGCTATCCTGGAAGGTGCGTTGTGTCCCCTCTGCATTTGGTCATGCCCGCCCATCAGCAGTGCTGGTCCAGGTCAGAGCGGGAAGGGAGGATATGCAACACTCTCCTTCCCGCCAATAGGCTTTGAATATGCTGAGGAAACAACAGACATGCACACAGCACAGAAAGCTCTAAGCAGGCTCGGTGCCTGTGGCTAAGGCACCAACCACATACACCTAAGGTGGAGGGTTCGAATCCAGCCCGGGGCCGTCAAACAACAATGACGGCTGCAACCAAAAAATAGCCGGGCATTGTGGCGGGCACCTGTGGTCCCAGCTACTTGGGAGGCTAAGGCAGGAGACTCGCTTGAGCCCAGGAGTTGGAGGTTGCTATGAGCTGTGATGCCACTGCACTCTACCCAGGGGGACAGCTTGAGGCTCTGTCTCAAAAAAAAGAAAAAAAAGAAAGAAAGCTCTAAGCAAAAGAAAACCTCCAAACTAGTCACATGAAAAGAAATGTATCCTATTGACTATTTTCTCCAAAAAAAGTGTGTGTGCAGAGATGGGGGAGGGGAGTGCCCACTTAACTTTTAACATGTATCTAACTGCGAAAGATCTCTCCAAAGGTCCTTTCCCTGAAAAAGAAAGTCTCTTCCAAAAAGATTTCATAACTCCATGTGCTCCGTTAGGTGAATTACAAATTAAGGATATGAGACCCTTTGAAACTTAGTATCGGCCAAATGTTATGTTCGCACTGAGGATTTTCCCGAGCGCCTCTTGCACTTGGAATACCTTCAGCCCTTTAAACCAGCCCCCGCCCATCCTTTTCCATACTTGGTATTTCTTTGAACAGTTTATGTTAGCTTTGAATTGATGGTAACAGTTTTGTTACAATTTTGTTTATTCTCTGTTCCTACTCTAGAATATGTTCTTCCTGAAGGAAGGGGTTTTATCTGTTCTGTTCTCTGTTCAGGACAGATGCTTAGTGAACAGCTTTTGAATGAAGAAATGAATAATCCGCACTATAACAACCATAGGAGCTTTTTTTACCTATTTTGCAAATGTGAAATCTGAGGCTTAGCAAAATGGAGCCAGGTACCTGGAGCTGCCCGGTAGCAGGAGGCAGAACCTCGTGGCAGGGTAGTGAAAGTGATGGAGTTTGGAAAGCACACCAGGGAGTACAGCAGTAGAGGCTAATAATTACTCACATGGACTCTGGAGCCAGTCTTCTTCCTCAGTGCCCAGCTCTGCTGTTGGACCGTGGGCAAAGTACTTAACCTCTCTGTATCACCACTCCCCACCTGACACTGGGAAATGATAATAACAGAGCAATTACACCATAGGGTGTCATGAGGATTGAATAAATTAATACAGGGACAGTGCTTAGAGTAGTGGAGCAAGTGCCATTGTAAATGTTACATATTATTATATTTCATTTTTCTTTAACTTGGAACTCACGTGCACCTGGCTGTCATCCTCTGCTTCTACCACACAGTCTACGTGTTTTGCATTTTCCAAATGTGTCCAAATCTTGACAATGTATTTGTTTACACATATATTTAGCTAATGTGTGTGGGTGTGTATGAAATTACCCATTATGTAAATAGCTTTGGTTTAGTAAGCAGAATATGCCAGGATATGGTTCATGGGGAATTGTTTTGTGTAATTTGGAAAACAGAAGAATAATAAAAGAATCCTCCAGAGAGACAATCTGATGAAGGTGTAACCAATACATTTGCAGATTTTTGTTTTTAAATAATAACCAGCCGCTAATGGCCCGGAGCGGAACATTGATTTATCTGCAGCAAGGTGGGCTGCGTTCCTGCTACACCACCAGCTGTCGTTTGGGGTATTAAGCTGCTTTTATTCAATCCAGGATCTGTCAATCTGGCTTTCAAGGAGGAAGCTTCGACATAGTGAGAGGCTTTGTCAGGTTCATGGATAGGTGCTGGAAGATATTTCTGTGCTCTGTTTGGTAGGTGCCCTTTACGATTTGCTGAGCTAGAATCTTGCCTGTTACTCATTGTGCCCTCAAATGCCTCGCAGACTGGTGGGGCTCTGAGTCTTTCAGAGAGAGGCTCCTGGAGTTGGCCCTTCTCAGGTGCCCTCTGGTGCCTCAGGCAGAGCTGGCCTTTGATCTCTGCCAATCTCGCTCCAGTCCTGGCCTCTCCAGGCTGGTTGAGAACCGCATTATCCAGTGTAAGTAGATCTAGTGGGACAAATCCCTGAGGACTTTTTTAAAAAAATTGCCTAGAAGGTAATATCAAAACCAAATCTTTTTAGTTTTCAAAAAAACTAAACTTGGTGTGCGGATGTCAGTGGATATTATTAGTTAAGCCCAAATGGAAAAATCTCCCATTCATTCATTCATTCATTCATTGAATTATGCCCTCGGCATTGTTTATCGTGGGCCCACTATATGCTAGGAATTTTGCTGGCAGCAAAAAGAGCGAGGTGAGTATACGGCTATGAACAGTGATGAAAATATTTTCATCATTATTTTTTTAATGACAGCTGAGATTTCAAAGCAGATATCCCCAAAGAAGTCTCACACCTCTATTCAATAAACCCACATGAAGCATATACCAGCACACTCACATTAACCCACATTTTACCAGGAGCTGTGCTAGACATACAGAGTATATGGATATGATCCCCACATCTTAATGAGAAGAGAGATTTATACCGTAACAGACATAGTATATGTATTTACAGCTATCTCCTAATGAGTTCATAGTTATTCTAAGGTGCCCCATCTCTCAGATGTCCAGCCCTAATCTCCAAGGCTGTCATAGAGCATGGAAAAAGGAATTTTGCAGACGTAGTTAAGGTTACTAAACAGTTGACTTTGAGTTAGTCAAAAGAGTGATTATTCTGTTGGAGCCAAACTTACCATTTTAAAAGGAGAATTTGTTCATCTGGGAGTAGAAGAGCTGTTGCAGGGAAAAGCTATGATCTAAGCCAGGTTTTCTGTTGCTGAGAAGGAGAGCATGATGGAGCCAGGGCCTAAGAACAGTCTCAAGATGCTGAGAGTGTGGCAGAGCTACCAGCCAGCCAGAAAAGAGGACCCTAATCCAGTGACCCAAGGAATTACATTCCTTCAACAGCCTAAATGAGCTTTGGAACAGATTCTTTCCCAGAGTCGCCTGAGAAGAATCCAGCCCCCTGACACTATGACATCAGCCTTGTGACTCTCTGAACAAATACTCAGGCTGAACCTGCCTGGACTTCTGACCTTCAGACTATGAATAGGAGCTGGTTTAAGCTGCTAAATTTCTGATCATTTATTATGCAGCCAAAAAATATGTATATATTATCCTTGGTTATTCTGCAGTTTTGTAGATTGTTTGTATTTAAAAGTTAGGATGTCTTAAAACTTGAATGGATGCTGAGAGACCTATGTGGTTCTTTACCACTGGTAATAAAATTGCCTTCTTATATTTGCACAACTCCATTTATAAAACATGCAATTTTTTAATTTGAGTTTCAGTTTTTGAGGAATCTGTATCCCCAGTTAAAGATGAAGAAACTAGTTTGGATTCACTATGGGTTGCTGACATAGTAACAGTGGAATTTGAATTCGGGCCCCACTCCCACTTGACACAGGGTCATCAGAAAACTGGGAGGTGACTTCACATGCAGCCTACTTTTCTTTTTTTTTGTAGAGACAGAGTCTCACTTTATCACCATCAGTAGAGTGCTGTGGTGTCACAGCTCACAGCAACCTCCAACTCCTGAGCATAGGTGAGTCTCCTGCCTCAGCCTCCTGAGTAGCTGGGACTACAGGCTCCTGTCACAACACTCGGCTATTTTTTTCCCTGCAGTTTGGCTGGGGCTGGGTTTGAACCCACCACCCTCGGTATATGGGGCCGATGCCCTACCCACTGAGCCACAGGCGCCATCCAGGCTACTTTTCTATCTCGTTTTCTGTGTGTTCTTCCTAACATCATCATCATTGTCTCCGGTGTTGAGGGCGTTCTTCTGCTTATTTCCTAAATGTTCATCAACTAAATAGTGATAGTTAAAACAAATTTTCTACAAAGTCAGAACATTTATGGAACACTCATCATCCACCATGGAACTCTCCATTCAACAGGGCAAATAGAACTACAAATGTCTCTTGGTTACTGGAACTGGGTAATGGAAATCCACGAAGAGTAAGCTCTTTCAGTATATGTGAAATATATATATGAAAAACAACTAGACCTATGTTCCTGTGGCTAGCTTATAAAACAAGATAATCCAGCAATCTTTTATGTCTCTCTGCATTTTTTTACTTTTATTATTATTATTCTTATTTGAGACAGAGTCTCACTATGTTACCCTGGGTTGAGTACCATGGCATCCCAGCTCACAACAACCTCAAACTCTTGCGCTTAAGCGATTCTCTTGCCTCAGACTCCCAAGTAGCTGTGACTACAAGTGTCCACAACATCCAGCTATGTTTTTGTTGTTGTTGTCACTGTTGCTTAGTGGACCCTGCCTGGACTTGAACCCACCAGCCCCAGTGCATGTGGCTGGTGAACTAACCACTGAGCTACGGGTGCCAAATCTCTGTATTTTTTTTTAAATTTCTGTATCTATTTTTCCCTATGAAAAAGTTGTTTGAGGGATTATTTACATTTCCAGATAATTGTACAAAATGGGTTGACCAATTTAATTTGCACTGGAGAAATTAGAATCTGGCAGAGCATAAGATACATTTCCTGCTACGTCCTACCAGTTTCCTCCTGCACCACTTGAACACGGTGCGGGGTGGTGAGCAGGACTTAGAACAGCCCTCAAACCTGACGCTCCCTCTTCCACACAAGTCTGTCTTGTGTCCCTTAGAATCAATCCGACTGCCCAAGGAGCCCATCTGATTGAAAACAAAGGCCAAGCCATTCTCCAAACAGAACAGAACACCCACTTCCCTGAGCCAGGAGTCCTTGTCTTTCTCTCTTGTCCTCAATCTCTCTCTCTCTGTCTCTCTTTTTTATTTATTAATGTTTTTTCCTCGGGGTTTTGAAGAGTAGAAGAAAATAAAATCCGAGAGTAAATTAAATGTGTAATTTGGCTTGGGCAGCTGTCCTGCCATCATCCTTTAATCAGGCAATTTGGGGTGAATGCTAACCCGGCTTTCTGTTTCTGCTGCAATCTGCCCTACAGAAACTGTGTAAAGGAATGGAAATGGGATCTTCTGGATGTGACATCCTGCCCCCCAAAAACATCCTGTGCACAGGTAATGCTCTAAAGAGTAACGGGAGGGCCTGGAAGCCATGTTTTATGACCAGGGTCACCTCTGGAAGGCCTGCTTAGGAAGGGTTTAGGGGCTGCGATCTACTGGGGCTTGTCTTGAAGCCAGTTTATATGAAAGGACCATATATACATTATTTAAATTTCCAGATAATTCTGGAATGTTTGCGTTTAGATTATGGCAATGTATTCAGTCAGTGAGGAGTAACTGGCCCTTCATACTCCCAGCTCTGCCATCGCTCTGCACATCATTGTTGATAAGCCACCATCTCCCTGTCTGTAAGTCTGAGGACACTCTTGGTTTATGGTCCCCCACAGCTATTCTTTGATCCAATTGGAAAGGACCTGGGGCCAGTAACTGTCGTCTTATCTGGTTAATGAGAAAAGCAAAGCCCAGTCAACCAGAGACTCCTAGTTACAGAAAGAATCGATGATGGAAACAGAGAGAACTAGAGGGTTCTCTGCATTCAGCATGCATGTGATGAGGGAAAAATTCAAAAACCCAAATCAAAAAGAAAAAATCCATTATGCCTATTTCTCTTCTATCGAGAACAGATTAAAAAATAAATCAAAGTCCCATCTGGTCTGTGTCAACATTAGAGATCGTACATCGTGTCTTATCAAAGGCAGGTTTGCCATGGTGGTGGGGGTTATATTTTTGCAACGTGCTTGGAAACCTAGAGCAGCTAAAAACAGAGCTTGGCACCGCCAGGTCCTCTCCCGCTGCCTGTGTTTGTGTTCTGCCTGCACTTGATGTTTTTAATTGATTTGTTTGACCAGAGGTCCCTGGAAAAAGAAGAGCAGGTACAGGGAGCTGACTGGGCCTTTGGGACAGACACGAGGAAGGGCTCAAGGCTTTCAGCACAACAGGGCAGTTTCTTGAGTGAGTTTGTGCTCAGAGCACACAGCAGTGGCCACACTCGCCCTGCAGTCTCCCACATTCACATTTGAGGGCTGTTGGCTAAATCTCTTTGTGAGCTATGCTGCGGCAGAAATCCAGTCCTAGAGCCTTCTTTCTGTCCTTCATTTGCTCCCCTGAGTTGCCCTTGGTACAGACTGGTCAGCTGGCAGGCACAGGCAGACCTGCTCCTAATCGCTTGACTTACAGGCTAGACAAGGGAAAGGCAGAGAAAGCCGCCTACCTACCTCTCCACCACTCCACCTGCCCCCACTCTGCCCTGACCAGTGTGCCCAATGTCCCTCCCACACCACTCTAGTTACTCTGCGGATAAAACATGGCACTATATTATGATTAAAAGGGAAAGGCTCCCATCTCTTTCACACCCTTCAATAGTTGTCGCTTTCTGAATGCATATTGCTGCTCCTGAAAAATCATGCCAGCCCCTTCTAGAACTAGAGATTGTAAAAGCAGCTCTGAGGGAGGAAGTCTCTGCTCAGGGAAGAGTCATTAAATGACTCCTTTGCTTGCACAAATTTAGAATGAGCAGGTATCCAGGAGGAATAGCAGTGACTGAGAAGGGTACGACCTTGGTCATGGTGTTAATCACTCAGATGACTGATGTGCAAAGCTGATCCCTGAGAGGAAAAGGAGGACCAGTGTGCAAGGAGACTCCAAGGACAAAGGAAGCTGGGAAGATGGGCCAGGATGGAGACCGGGGTGGTCCAGCCCAAGCCCAGCAATAAGATCAAAAAGATTCCCAAATAGTAGCTTAGATAAATGGCCCAGACTCACAAAAGCTTCATCCAGGGACACTAGTTACACTTTGGAGCCAAACAGGTAAGCTTGTAGCCCAACATGGGAGTTCTCTGTACAGTCTTCTAGTGACACAATATGGCAGCAAGAAGAAATGACAGCTGATGGATTAAACATCAAGTGTTTTCTCTTCTTCCTATTTAGAACCAGAAGCAGGACCTCCTAACCCCAACTTTAGGTGGACTGAACATGCTGTATGTTTCTGCAGAGATTTCTGGGGAGCCCTCAAGTCTTTGTCTTTTGCTAATAGGCTAAGTGAATATTCTAGTGATTATTTGGAAAAATGAAAGGGCTGTAACCATATTTGGAAGTCACACTGAAGCAGGAATATTTTATAGTTTCACCTCACATACTCTGAGCTTGACAGTGAATCTTATAGCTGAATCTTAAGGGTTATTTCAGGAATTAAAACCACCATCCTTTGCTATTTCTAATTGAAATCTCATCTGCTCTATCCTCCAAATATTTTCTTTATTGGGGAAAGTGTATTCTGAGATATTTCTGACCCGAAAGAGAACAGATATGAAAATCTGAGTGAGCTACGTCTTTCAAGGACATTTTTGTGGGGATTGGATCCAAAAGCCTAGTTGCCATCTAAAGAATGTACAGACCATTGCTGCATTCCTGGAATTCCCCAAGAGATTTAAGCGGGAGACCCTCACCCAGAGAACACCGTTCCCATGGTACAGCTGAGACCCAGTCCTCTGAGAAGAAAATCGCTATGGGGATTAAAGGAACCCTCATTAAGTTTGCATTAGTGAAAGTGACTTAACTTGAGGCTATATTAATCAGGTCACCACTGCTAAATGCATGTAATGGAATGTTCTTTGGTGCCTCTTTATGGCAGCGGTGGGCATGGGGGATGGGCAGGGCAGCAGCAAGCCGCACATTCCCACTTCCTTGCATCATCTCTGAACTTCTGGTGTGCTCCTGTTGGAACTGAGGCTGCAGTGAGCTTGACACGGTCTGGGAAACGTTTTCTCTGTGCTGTAATTATTGGTTCTTCAGGAGAAGGACAGTGCCCTTCTTTATTACGATTTTCAATTCCTGGTGCTTAGCATTAAGTATTTATCAAATGAAGGAAAGAAAGGATGAATATCGATTATCCAGCCTGGGTTTCAATGTAAGGTCCCCTGTATTGACTCTGGTCACTCCAATGCCGTTGCTCTGATAGTGAGTCTCA